GCAATGCACATACCAGAGCATTAAAAAGGATTAGAAGACTGAAGTTTGAAGGCAATATTTAAGAAACTGGGACCGTTTAATCTAAAAGGAAGAAAAACCTGAAAGAATGTCTATATTTCCAGGGATCAGAAGTAATAAATATAGTCCTGTATGATTTCATATACTTTTATCCTTTTCCATACATGTCAATGTATGATTACATGTGATTTAGTTTGTAGTGAGTTGTACAATGTTGCAGATAAATTAATTCACAAATCGGAAAGACTCTCTGGTCTACCACATGCCTTGAATTTTGGTTTTGAAAACCAAGCTAATTTTGCCTGGTAATTGCTTTGGGGGACAGTTTTGTGGGATTTGGTAGGGGGGAACATGTGTTCCTAAAAAAGAATTGTCTGTTCCTAAAAAAGACTTGTCTAGACTGGTAAGCTACTGGGAGTCAGTAAACGTCTCCATGAAGTCAGAGAGTTAAGAAATGGTTCAAGTTTTGCTCATTGATCAATTGATTGGAGTAATTTCAGAGCCACTAACAGAGACATGGAAAGATAGACTGTGCTCATTCAGTGCACTTCCTACCAGATAACCCCACCAGCTTATTTTAAGAGTCAAAGAAAATAAAGCAGACTTTATTTGAAAGAGTTGAAATGCTACATAAGGATAGGATATTATTATCTAAGAATAGTCATAGTAACTGTTATTACTTAAACCAACCAGACCAAGGAAGGATATACTTTCTCATGCTTCTATCTCTTTTCCGTATTCCCCTTCTCCATTCCCCTAAAGACACTTGACAATTCTTTCTTGTCTGACTCTGCAAATCCTGAGCAATTTATATTTTAACACTTGTGTTTGCTGACAGGGCACCCAAAATCCCGAATCAGATTTAATGCAATGTTAATGCTATTTATTTTTCCTGGTGCAATAAGTTTATATTAGCCATTTAACAGTTTACACTGTGCAAAAGGAGTTGTATCAGCAACACTTTTCTATAACATCTGGGAAGTGGAAACATAATACTTAAATACAACCTGAGTTTAAAGCCTTCCATGGACAGATGGCTAATTTTATTGATCTAATCTTACACACAGGAATAGATCCCATGATTCTTTGCTCGTAATTCTTAGAGTGAGCAGAGAAATAAATAAAATGGGTGATGGCTGTGAATTAGGCACCTGTTATATTGCCTGTGATTTATTTTTTAAATACTTCAATATAAACAGTGACTGTGTGAATTACTTTAATTCCTACCCTAGGGGAGCTTAGTTGACACTTGAGGTAATTCAGGCTAGAAGACACCACTCTGGTATAAGAGTTTACATCTATTTTCATGTCTTGGTGACTGTGCTGTACCAGTGGTTAAATATTTGGAACTTCACCTCAGCCATAGGCAGGAATCCACACTCCTGGGTTGGTTAGTTATCATTTGAAAAACTTTATTATGAAGTTCAAAGTGGCTGCAAAAATGCTTAGAATGATGTTATCAAATCTTCTCACCAGAGGGTTTGCTAATTAGCTAGCGTAAATTATGTTAGATACAATGTTTTCATTGGTGAAATGTGTGATTAGCTAGAAAGATTATGCATGTCACTCTGTTTTTGTGTGGATAAAGAGTAAGAATCCAGCAAGCCCAGCAGTCTAGCCACTTTGGGTGGCTGATTGGAGCTAGAGCTCCATTCAGTTTTGCATTTCTCTCAGGTTAACAGTAAACTCATTTGCCTGCTACTGCACCCCATGGTTTGCTGATGGATATTGATGTATGTCTCTCAGCAGATACAAGCAGATATTTGTATTAATCGGAGTAATTAACACTATCTGCTGTAACAAAGAACTCCAAATCTTGATGGCTTATTTTTCATTTATTCTAGGTCCAAAGTGGATGTTCCTGGTTGGTTGGGCAGCCTTTCTGGGCTACTCCCCTCCAAATGGTGACGTGAAGACCTTCTTAGTCATTCTATCTGACTCAGGTCTTCCAGTCACCACTTGGAGATACTGCCATCTTGTAATACCACCACCTTTGAAATGGACCTCCAATGGGGGAGGTAAAGAGAAAGAAGGCTTGTGTGAGAGATTTTATGTGCCAGATCAGAACACGATCTGTGGCCACAACCTAACTGAAATGTAGTTCAGTTGTATGCACAAGAAGAAAATGAACCCAGTGTGGTGGGCTGTCTCTGATGCAGTGTTTTGGAGTTCCTAAAAGGACAAAGAAGAGACATCACCAAATTTATGAGAGCATGTTGTATGATAATTTTTGTGCCCTCTTGTCCATGTATATTAGTATATGGGGTAGAGTTTGGCCTAGAATTTGCTTTCATTGTAGTGTCCAACCTGGTTGAAAAGTGAATTGTTACTATTTATCTTTACTTGTTGGAGGCCGCTGCAATTTAGCAAAAGAACCTAAAAGCTAAGCAGTCAAATTGACTTAGGTCTGTTTGCAGTAAGGTCCAAATACATATATGGATAAGTGAACATATGCTATATGTTACTAAATATTTCCTACATTTTACAAAGAGTAAAAATAACTTTAAAAAGTAACACAACTACCCAATGGACTAAATAGAGTGAATTTCTAAGGCACCTCAACTAGAGCTCTAGTCCACTGACCCCAGTTTTTTAGAAGTTCCTTGTGTTTGTATCCCACAACAAAAAGAACTGTTCTTGGTAGAATAACTTATTCAGTGAAAGATGCTTCTTAAAGTATAAATATCAGGCTTTTCTAGACAACACAGCCTGCTTTGATGAGGATAAGGCTGAAGATGGTGTGTGTAGATTGATCCCAGTGAAAATAAATTGATATATTTTGTTGAGCCATTGCACTTTTCAAAGAACTTTCCTAGAAATGATCTCATCTGATCTTTGTAATCCTTGCCCCACTAGGAAGTCAGGGCAGAAGACTTAGCAAAAAGGAAAAAGGCTTAGCCAGGACATGAACCGAGGTTGTCCAATCCTTTGTTTCTTTGCACCAGCTCAGAGGTGTTTCTGCAGCAAATGGATGAGTGTGATCATCA